TCTATACAGAGGAAGAGACAAAGGAAATAGAGTAAATGTAAGAAAGGATTACAGTCAGGGATCACAAGTCACAGAATCATAGATGATAGAGGCAGTAGAGTCACAGAAGTCAGTAATTCTCAATACACTGGATGACAAACTCGACACAGTTTTGTGGGCTTACAAGAAAGTTGCAAATAAGGTGCACCCTGTACCCAGAGTGCTTCCAGAGGAGTTCTGCATAGTCAGACAACAGCACCCCAATCCTCTAGCCAGAATGCCTATATTACTGACAATACTACAGCCCTTCATGCCTACCAGCCAACTTACAGAAGAGCAGATGTGAGCAATTAGAGAATTGTAATTAGGATTCTTATGGCTGGAAGAATGGAAACTTGCAGAAAACCTATTAATGCTACAGTCAGAAGCATTTGCATGGATGGAAGAGGAGTAAGGAACATTGGACCCTACATACTTTGATCCTATTCAAATTCTGACCATAGAGTATGTACTATGGGTAGAGAAAAGTATTCTGATCACATGCAGAATTGAGAAGAGGGTGATTGAGTTGTTAAAGGAGAAGTTGTGTAACAGAGCAATAGAACTGTTGAATTCCTCCTATCAATTGTAATGGTTTTGCATCACAAAGAAAGACAGAGTATCCTTGTAATTTATTATCAATTTGTAGAGGTTAAACACAGTTACAATAAAGGACACAGCTGTTCTGCCAAACATGGAACTAATTGCAGAAAGCTGTAGAGGTCATACATGCTATACACAACTCAATTTGCATATTGTGTTTGATTAGAGGAGTTTGGATGAGCAGTCTAGAGATCTGACAATGTTCCAGACACCTCTAGGGACGTTTTGCTTGACAGTATTGCTAATGGGTTACACTAACTCAGTACAGATTCTGTATAATAACTTAGTGTTTATTCTTTGCAACAAGATTCTGAATGTTACAAACCCATACACAGACAATGTTCTGGTAATTGGACCCTGCTCAAGATATGAGAAAGCAGACAGAACAGAGGAAATGCTTCCCAAGAACGAGGGAGTACAGAAGTTTGTTTACAAGCATCTGATGGATGTAAACCAGATTTTGCAGAGAGTGAAAGCTGTAGGAGGGACGTTTTCTGGAAAGAAGATGATGCTTTGTAACAAATCCACAATATTTGTTGGGCATAAGCTGACATATTTGGGGAGAGAGGCTGAAGAATTGTGAATACAGAAGGTTAGGGATTGGCTGCCTTGTAAGAGTGTTACAGAAGTACAGGGATTCCTCAGAACAGTAGGAGTGCTTTGTGTTTTTATTCAGAATTACACAAAGTTAGTACAACCACTCAATTGACTCACACAAAAGAACTTGATATTCAATTGGAATGACAAAGCACAGAAATCTATGAACACACTCAAGGAAGCAGTTTTACATTGCCCTGCACTAACACTAATCAACTACAAGTCAGAGTATCTGGTAGTTTTGGTAGTAGATTTGTCTATCATCAGAGTAGGATGGTATATTAGTCAGAAGCACCTGGATCACAAACAGAGAATAAATTGATTCAGATTGATTAACTGGAACACAACACAAGTACAATA